TGATTGACTACACAAATATAACCGCGCTACTGACCGGAAAATAATGATGATTTACCAAATACCTGCAAAACGCACACGCCGGAAAAGGGATTTTGCAAAAGGCAGCAGAATTCTGCCACTGTAAAATAAGCCAGACGGCAAATACTCTACCCTCTAATTCACATTTCAAAAAGGAAAGCAAGCACAGGCATTAATGACATTTACAGGAAAGCATTTAAGAAGGAAGAAAGCCAGCATGAGGAAGTTTCAGTGGCTCATTGAGAAAAAAAAAATCTCATAAAATATATATAAGTCATGTTAACTCCCTTTGAAGTCCAAAAGCTGGACGTGCAGAGGGAAGTACCCCCAGCTAAAGGGCAGAGAAGGGGGTATGGGGGCTGTTGTCACAAGTGAAGGGTCAGTTGTCACAAGTGCAGGGTCAGTTGTCACCCTGACACAGCCCAACACGCCGCAGGTTCCAGGGGAGACGCCGAGTAGCTCCCTGCTGACTTGCTGCTCAAACTCTCCTGCTCTTTTGAAGGCAAGCGAAAGCCGCCATTCATTATGTTAATTAGCTGTCTGCATGTCAGGGGAAAAAAAAAAAAACAAACCAACATAAATTCTATGAAAATTTATGAGCTAATATAGTTATCCGAAAGACACGAAGTGGGCTAGACTTCCCTTTCAGCTGCAGAAGCACGGTATCATTATCCGCACTTCATCTCTCCCTGACCTTATCAAACTCATGCTTTGAAGCCAAAAGGCATCAGAAAATCTTTTGTAAAACTCCGGTGACAAAGCCCAGCCTTTGCCACCCAACACGTGACTGTTAACACTGTTTTTGTTTTTTTTTTTTTTTCCTGCAGATCTCCATTTCAATTTAGGAACCCTGATATGCTGATGAAGCCTCCAAACTGGAGAATTACATCTCAAAGACCTGAACGTTTGCCAGCTACTCCTGTTTTTTTTTATAACACCCCCCCTTCTTCCTGCCTACATGAATCAATATGCGCAACGAACAGCTACCAAGGGAGTGAAGAGCCAGAGGGTGAGGGGAGGAAAATCGAGTTCACAGCTTAAAAAGTCTGTCCTGATAGTTGGGGCCATCCTCCGACGTTAGAAACGGCACCGCTCCACTCCCCAGTTTGCTGGTTTACGGTTAGTTTGGCCAATAAAGCTTGATTTTGTTACCATGGATCCTTTTTCGTCTCCTTCCAAAAATATTTTTGGAAGCAGCAGGGGAACAGAGGGCTGACCACGATCGTTAGCCCTCTAATTCATCCCCGAATCAATCCAAACCATATCAAGGGACCCACTCTCTGCCACTTCTGCTGGGCTCCAGCTGCAGCCGGGGAGATCTCGGTCACACCTGACAAAGGAGAACAGCTTTTTGGTGACCAAAAAGCAAAGCTGCTCTTACAGTAGTTTGAGCTACTGGTTGGCTGCACCCTTGACAGGTCTGTGTTTCTTTACATCACTGCTTTTCCCAAAGATTTTGGGGGCCCAGGGGCTTATCTGGAAACACGGAGGCTTTTCTGTGTGAAATGCAGCTTCACATGTTCTTCCAAACCCTGAAGGGCCAGCTCCTACCTGATCCCAGGGAATGCTATACAGGTAAACTCATTGAATTCCACTTCATCAAAAGCCCTTCTATAATCCTCAAAGCAATTTCCCTTCTGCTGTCAGAAAAGTAAAGAAGATTTTTGGCATAACTGAAAATTTATGTCTTTTGTTCCGTATCTCCAGGCCTGGAAAGCTCTAACAGTTCCCTCTACACCTCCCTCCATGCAGATTTCCACTCCCCGCGCCGTTCTGTTTAAATAAAAACCTACAACAGCCATCAAAATGCTCTGCCTTGTCAAATAATCTGATCCCTTTTTATCGTGGCTCTCTGAGGACTGCGAGTTGTAAAGAAGGTTCCTCCAGATAGAAAGTCATTAGTTCTAACAAGCTAATGGCCATTATCCATTTAAATCACTGCTTTTGAAAACAGTTCATCATTTCTTCTTTCTACAGCAGACAATCTTTTGTGAACGCTGAAGCAATCTGATTATTCCATGAAAGGTTTTAGGAATTGAAGTCGATTGTACTTGCCCAGGCACAAATTGATTATCCCAGAAGTTTTAACCCCTTAAAGCTGCAGAGAGAACAGATATTTCTCTCTTTTGAAGATGTACCAGAAGAGGGAAAAGGTCTTCTCATGCCCATCCTCTCAACTCCCCGTGATATCGCTCATGCCTGTGACCATGCCAAGCTTCCCTGGGCTTGCTCCTCCTCCCTGTGGGCCAGTGGCCTTCTGCTTGGAGGAATACACCAGGAATCCCACCTCCAAAGTTCTCACATGAGCTGGTTCTCCTCCTGTCTCTCAAGAAACAGCCATGCCCACCTCACCCCAGTTAACACCAGCCCTGCCTGGCCCAGGCCGATGGCACCGGGAGCGGACACAGGGGTTTAGGGGCAGACAAGTCAATGAAAGGTTTTGAGGGCAAGAATGAGGAATGAATTATGAGCTGCCACAAGCAAGATCAGCAATGAGTTTTATCTAACTTATGGGAATTAGCCAGTTCTTCGAGATTCAAAAGGAAATATAAATCTCCAAGCTCCCTTCCCGACAGGAAATATCAAGATTACATGCTCCCCTCTCCAGCAGTCATTCCAGGGAATTATCCACTGCTCGATAAACCTGCTGTGCTTTAGATCACAGAAACTGCCTATTTCCATGCTGTCTGGCCATTTCCTAACGCTGCACTCACTGGAGCGGAGCGCAGGGAATATCATAGAATCATAGAAATGCCCAGGCCAGAAGGGACCTCCAAAGGCCATCTAGTCCGACCCCCCCGCAGTCAGCAGGGACACCCCCAACTAGACCAGGTTGCCCAGGGCCTCGTTGAGCCTCTCCTTGAATATCTCCAGGGATGGGGCCTCAACCACCTCCCTGGGCAACCTGTTCCAGTGCTCCACCACCCTCACAGTGAAGAACCCTCTCCTCATCTCCAGTCTAAAGCTGTTCCCCTCCAGCTTGAAGCCATTGCCCCTCGTCCTGTCACTGCAGGCCTTTCTAAACAGGTTCTCCCCAGCCTTCCTGTAGGCTCCCTTCAGGTACTGGAAGGCTGCTATTAGGTCTCCCCGGAGCCTCCTCTTCTCCAGGCTGAACAACCCCAGCTCCCTCAGCCTGTCCTCGTAGCAGAGGTGCTCCATCCCCCTGATCATCCTCGTGGCCCTCCTCTGGACCCTCTCCATCAGGTCCATGTCCTTCTTCTATTGAGGGCTCCAGACCTGCACACAATACTCCAGGTGAGGTCTCACCAGAGCAGAGTAAAGTGGCAGAATCCCCTCTCTGGACCTGCTGGCAACGCAGCTTTTGATGCAGCCCAGGATGGGATTGGCCTTCTGGGCTGCAGCTGCCCACTGCCTGCTCATGTCCAGCTTCTCCTCCACCAGCACCCCCAAGTCCCTTTCCTCAGGGCTGCTTTCCAATCCCTCACCCCCTAGTTTGTATTGGTGGTGAGGATTGTTCCAGCCCAGGTGCAGAACCTTGCATTTGCTCTTGTTGAACCTCATGAGGTTCACCTGTGCCCACCTCTCCAGCCTGTCCAGGTCCTTTTGGATGGCATCCCGTCCCTCTGGTGTATCGACAACACCACACAGCTTGGTATTGTCCGCAAACTTGCTGATGGTGCCTTTAATCTCCCTGTCTATATCATTGATCAAAATGTTAAACAGTATTGGCCCCAGCACGGACCCTTGAGGAACACCACTTGTGACTGGTTTCCATCTGGACTTTGAGCCATTAATATCGCAGCAGGGAGGGCTCGGCTGCAGGCATGGGGGTCACGCTTCATCTCACCTGTCCCTGATGACACACGGGTACCCCCACCCAGGCCACCAACCTCACCTGGCAGACAGGGGAGAAGGCCCGACCGCCAGGCTCAAACTTTCTCCTCATGCCACCCAAATCAAACCCAGACCCGCTCTATTAAGCTGCCAACAACCCTGCCTCCCCATGCCACGTTTCGACGCACAACATGTAAAACACAGACGTTGCTGAATTACTCTCGGCTATTTTGTTCCTCGAGGAAAGAAAGAGCAACCAAAGCTTTCATGGGAACCAGCACAACGTATACTTATAGTCGCCTATGCAGCAGTTCTGAGACCAAATACCTGCCACACACTAACAGGAAAATCAGCTTGGAAGAATCGAGGCTGCAACGCATGAGCAGTGAGAAAAGAACAGCTTCTCCCAGGAAGAGAAAAACACAAAAACACAACTATCCGGCTTTCCCAAATGCAAATTTGGGACTTTCAGCTCACAGATAGACAGGTAAGCAGCACAGGGCTGTATTTTATGACGTGTTCTCAAGGGCAGTGTGTTTCACAAGACGCTATTATCCAGGCTTTAAACAGTGACAGCATGTATTTCAGTAATGACCAGGTTGTGGTATGTCAGCCTTCACAGTTTCCAGGCACGCTCTGCCGGGAGCGTGTTGCTACTCCCCAGTTCACACATTTTAGCAGGCTGTAATATATTGCTGCTTCTCTGAAGGCAAAAATAAGCGCCGCACCGTGAGAGCTGTCGCTTTGCTCTGCAGCTGTTCAAACTTCCCCGGCACCATGTTTTAACAGAGCTTTCCAACGACGCCGTGTTGCAGAAACTGCCAACAGTGCCTTCTTGCGCATTTACTTGTAACACCCCAGCTTGAGAACTTCACGCGCAGCCAAAACCCACCAGATTTTGTTGAGAAGAGTTTTTCAGCACGGGAAAAAACTGTTTCCCCCTTCAAGTCAAAGTCTGATGAAAGAGCTGGAAGGGGAGTCACACTCTCTCTCACTGGTGTTAATTAGCATAACTCCAAGACTCAGGCCTTTTTTCCCCCCCCCCATATGCCTACAAGTATGCAATTCATTTTACCTTTGGCTTTTTTTTTTTTCCCACCTGCAGCCCACGGCACAGAGCTACTTTAAAAGACGTTTTATAGTAAGAGTTCAGAAGAGGCAAAGTATTTCTCTGCTAATCTGTGTACCTGCCTTCCTCCTCTTGCCACAGGCACTCGCAAAGACGCTTGCTTCAGTTAAACTCTGCCGAAGTTGTGTTGGCTACGAACTTAAGGACCAAATCTGTTTCCATGATCCCTGCAAAGTGCACAGAACTGCATGAAAGAGCCCTCTCCACAATAATCTCCTAATAGGTATAAAAGAGTATTAACCATACATTGGCACAGCAATACTGTTCATGGTATTTTATTTCTGAACCGGCTTTTTTTTTTTTTAATGAAAAAGCACAATCTGCTTCAGTCTCAGCTGATCTTTTTATATACTTCATATTGTATTCTTATCTCATTCCTCCACCCTGATTAAGGGGAGTGACGGCAGACACCGAGCCGTAAAAATATAGCAATAAAAAAACCCCACCCGTGTCTGCTCGCCGAGGAAACTATTTCAGCCTAAACTATATTCGGACAATTCTGCAATCATTCATTTACCAATCCCCACTTTATGCTCCGCACGCACCACTCCTTGACACCCACCATTCGCTACAGGCTTTCTGCCGCCCTTCCCTTCCCTACCAGCCAGCTCTTTTTTACCTCCACAAACTGGAAAGGCAGGAGATGACAGAAATCTATAACCCCTCCCCAGACCCCTTCTACACCTTTCCCGGGCTGTCGTGAGGGGAACAGAGTCGCGATAGTGGTCGCAGAAGCCGCCCCGGGCCCCGGGCTGGAGCGGGGCGGCTGCTCGGTCTCCATGCTCCCCCCTTCTCCAAGCGATTTCAAAGCACCCCGCAAACCGGCTCCTCACCCCCGGTCTCCATTTTCCCCTCCCTTCGCACACACCAAGTCCCAGCGCCGCCCCGCCGCCGGCCTGGCCCACCCGCCTCCCCGGCGGCCCTCGGCTCCACCGTTACCGCGGCCCCGGCTGAGGGTGGGGGGGGAGGCGGGAAGGGTCGGCCCCGCTTCCCTCCCGGCTTCTTCCTTCCCTCCCTCCCTTCTCAGAGACCTGTTCTCCGGGAGCGCCGAGCCGCCGTCGCCTCTCTCCCCTGGCTGTCGGCGGCAATGGAGAAGGAGGCGGAGGAGGGGGGGGGGAAGAACGGGGACGGACGAGCGAGGCGCGGAGCACCTCCCTCTGCGGGAGCCCGGCGCCGAGGCTGAGGCGGAGGCGTCGCTGCCGGGGGGCGGAGGGGGGAGGACGGCGCACGGATGTGGGCGCTCGGGGTTTCTCCTGAGGGAAAACACCCTCCGCCCTGCCTGGCGAAGGGGAGGTGGTCGTTCCCTCAGCGGGGGAACGGGGAAGAAGGGGTCTCATGGTAGAACCCCCGCCTCCTGCCCCTGTTTTCCCCTCAGGCGAACCAGCCCGACTCCAGTGGAGGGCTTAGAGCTTTCCCCCTGAGGAAACTGGGGGCCTGAGCCACGTCTTTGAGGGAGAATCCCTGCCCCAAGTGGGATCCAGTCATGGCCTTCCTTGGCCCAGTCATGGCCTTACTTGTCCTGGCCATTGACCTTCCTTGGACCAGCCATGGCTTTCCTCAGCCCGGCCATCGGCCTTCCTCGGCCCAGCCACAGCTTTCCTCAGCCCAGCCATTGACCTTCCTTGGACCAGCCATGGTCTTCCTCAGTCTGGCCATCAGCCTTCCTCGGCCTAACCATGGCCTTCCTCGGCCTGGCCATCAGCCTTCCTTGGCCCAGCCATGGCCTTCCTCGGCCTGGCCATCAGCCTTCCTTGGCCCAGCCCTGGCCTTCCTCAGCCTGGCCTTTGGCCTTCTTTGGCCCAGCCATCGGCCTTCCAGGAAGGAGGAGGAGGAAGAACCAAGTCCCACCACCCGTTCAGTCCCAACTTGTGCCCTGCCATGGCTTTGATGGGGTTTTACTGGCAGTTCCCCAGGCTCTGGTCCAGAGCAAAGAATAGCTGTAACCTGTTACTCATCATCCCCCTGAATCTTGAGGGGAGGAAACTTAAAGGGCTTCTTTCCACAACCTCACAAGCTCAAGTTGCCTCAAATTTTCCTGTTAATCCATCTCCTAGTTCCCAAAACTCAACCCAAAGTGGTTGGCCAGTTGGGAAGTGTTTCTAACCCAGTATCTCGATGCCATGGGGATGGAGCCGTGCAGCTGCAAGAGCTCATCCATTGCTAATTCAGTCACTGCTGAGCCAAGCACTTGCTGCTAATAAAAAAAAAAACAGTATTTTATTTAGCCTGGAAAAAAAGAGGCTGAGGGGAGACCTTCTCACTCTCTACAACTCCCTGAAAGGAGGGTGTAGCCAGGGGAGGTTGGTCTCTTCTCTCAAGTCACAGGCCATGGGAAAGAGGAAACAGCCTCAAGTTGTGCCAGGGGAGGTTCAGGGTGGATATTGGGAAAAATTTCTTCATGGAAAGGGTTGTCAAGCCTTGGAAGAGGCTGCCCAGGGTACTGGTGGAGTCACCATCCCTGGAGTGATTTAAAAGCCAGGTAGATATGGTGCTGAGGGACATGGGTTAGTGGTGGGTTTGTCAGTGTTGGGTTGATGGTTGGACTTGATGATCTTCCAAGGTCTCTTCCAACCTCAACAATTCCATGATTCTAAGTGTACTTCCACACTGGACTGGAGCACATTCAGTGAGCTCAAACAGCCCAACAGCGCGATTATAATCATTCCTGCTAGAGATTTATCATTACGTGAGGGTAACTCTTTACCCCAACTTGAAACGAATTTGGTGTCTCCATCGCAGAGCACTCGAGATGCCTCAGGGGACTGGGAGAGCTGCATTCTCTCTCCAGTACTGCGCGTTGGTAGTCGTGTGGAAAACAATAACAACATTTTGTGCTACGCTGCTGGTAACTGGCACGTAGTACTAGCATAGCTTGGCCCCAAAATATCTGCTTTAAAAATAAAAATGCAATATCCAGGAGAGAGAGAGAGAGCTGAGTGAGAACAGCACGGAAAAATCAGGGCCGGTGTTACCCTGTGTACATATTTTGGCAAGATTATAGCACATTGCAAAGTCCTTGGGTGGCAGAACCGCGTGTTCAGAGTGAATTCTAATGATTTCACTCGAATCCTTGGGCTTGTTGTAGTTTCTGCAGAGCGTAATGTGAAGTTGTAACTTGCAATTCCTCTTTTGTAGGTCATTTTTGGGGGTGTGAGGTCACTGGTGAGATGCGATGGGGAATGCTGAAGTATCATGCTGATCAAGGAGGTTGATAGAAAACATCATCGGTTGAGGAACTTCAACATATAGAAACCCTCTGCCATTAGTTTTATTATTAATTTCTGTGTGTCCGGAGAAACCTGCAAAACTGGAATAGCTGCAGGTAACCTTTCGTGATCCCGGGAGGATGATGCAGCTGCGGATCCTCCACTTGGTCCCACTTCCTAGCACTTAGAGCCACTTCGAGCTCTGTTTCAATGGTGTCTGCCCTTCCCTGGGGTTTGTTACTAGCAACGTCTCCAAACAGCGCCATCGCTACCAGGAGAAAAAGGAGTTTCTGTTTTGTTCTTAGGGCTGCACAGCAGACAAATAAACCTTCTTACCCGTGGCCCACACATCCTTTTGGGAAAATCCTTTGGGTGCAGCTCAGCTGGGAGCAGCAATCGTTCAGTGGGAGATCAGTTACCCGCCGTGACACCCATAAAACGGGTTATCCCTGGTCCGGTCACCCCTTTTCCCCGCCGGCAAATGCCCGGTAAATGGTAGGCAGAGGAGATCAAATTGTTGGCAAACATTTCTCGGAGGCCTCGCGGCTCAGAACTTCGCACCCACACAGCATCCCACAAATTGGCTCGCCATCAGCAGTGATTCAGCGCGGCCACGCAGGCAATTAGTGACTCTGCTGGGTGCCAGCTCTTTTTATGTAACTGGAAATGTTTTGCTGTGACGGATGGTTTCAGACAGAAGCATTTCTCCGCAGCCCTTGCAGCTTCTAGATAAGTTTCCTCTTTATCTCCTCTCGGCTGCTAAATGTTAAATAAAACTATCAGTTATGTTACTTTGGGGTCTCTTAAATTGAAGGCAAATGTCTTACTCGGTAACCTCCATTTCCTGCTTATTCCTCTAACAATTAAAATTCGGCGTTATTCACAAGAACAGGAAATGTGCGTGGATCCTGTTCTGTCCAGATAGAGAAGCAGCCGGACTAAACGAGTCCTTTACAGAATGATGAGACAAAATCATCCTGAATTAATAATGAAAGTGTGGCATTTCCTGATACACCTTTTTTTTTTTCTTTTTCGTTCTTTTTTTTCCCCTTTTTTAAAAAGAGGGCTGGATCTGCTTTGGGAGCAGTAGCAGGATGTGGTATTTACCTTCCCTGGTAACGAACATATTTGCATTAGCTGCGATATTACCCCAGGACGAAGGCAAATATGTTATCTCACCCGCTCTGCCCGTGCCCGCAGCCGGGAGGGAATACCTTCACTCTTCTCCAGCAATAAGGAAGAGCTTGCAGCCAACTCTCTCGCTCCCCTGGTTTTCCTTTAATTATCCCAGCAAGTTATTTCTTATTCAAATTCGTCTTTAAGGCCCGCTCTGCTTGGGAACGACAACAAAAAAGAATAATAATTCGGTTTTAAGCCGTCTTAAACCAGTTCTTGTGGCTCAGTTGTGGTTTTTCGCAGAGTATTAGTAGCGTCAGCCTTCGTCTCACTAATGGGAGCGAAATTAATGTCTATTCAACCTCGTTAAGCTGCTACAGACTTGTCAGGCAAACGCACCCCACCTGCTTTGCTCTTGGCATGACTCGCTGGGTGCAGGTGTGCGAGGGGCTGGGGACACCCCTCTGGCCTCGGGGAGGGTTTTTGTCACCGTGACCTCTTGTGGGGAGCCTCAAGACACATAGACCTGCCCGATGGCCCCCGTGGAGGGTTCTCAGTAGAAATTAGTGAGATTTTAATGAAAGCAATCAGACACGGGTACGTCTGAACTGAGGAATGACCAAGTGTTGCTGCCATATTTCATATTTCTCTTTCTGTTCTTGGCCAAAGCGCTGCCAGGATTCTTCGAGGGGAAACTTTCTGTGTGTTTTAAATAATGTCGAGCGTGGTTTTTGGCCCTCTGTGCAAAAACACCCCACCCAGACTAAACTCACAAGCAATTTGTAAAAGGCTTATTTGGGTTAGAACATAGAAACTAGATGCTTCACCGAGGTGAATCTGGAGCAAACCTTAATTACGTAAGGCCAACAAATTAACGAGATAAGGCTCATATTGTGGATTTATTTAACAAGTCTTAGATGTCCATCCTGCTTTCTCCCCTTCCTCCTCCACTCTGCCACCCTCATCCTCTCCCAGTCATGCTGGGCATCCAGGAAGGGTTCAGCTCCATCCAGTGAGCCATCCACAAGCGGTTCAGGTCCATCAGTTAATGCCAGTTGGGTGTTTAATCCATTCTATCTTTCCTCAACAACAACAATTCAGCAGGATACGCTCATATTTTCTGCGCCACGATGCGATAGCCAGAGGCTAATTAGTTCCAAATAAGAGGAACGAACAAGGTTGGTCGGAAAGCAATATCCTCTTCTGCCCAAAATGATGTTAAAAAGAGAAACCCTGATTATTTGGTTATTTATTGCAAGTAAGTTTTTGGACTAAAATACATTTTTCATCTAGAAGGTTGCCCCATGTTTTTGCAGACCCAGAAAATGTTCTTTTCCTGAAAAAGAACATTGTCAAGGCCAGCAGATAATGACCGTGATCGTTTCTGCCTCGTCAAAGATTCAGTCTGCAACTGCAAGTAACTTGCACCGCTCTTTAAAAATCAGATCCCTGTTATTTAGCTTCAAAACTTGCCCATTTTTCCTCCTTCCCTGCGTTCCAATGCTTTAAATATTTGATGTGCCCGACCATCGGCGCCTAAATAACTGCGTGCATCTGCATTTATTCATTCATTTATTTATTTTATATACCAAAGCCTGTGTTGAACTTCATCAGTTCCTTGGTTTGGACTTGCCTCTCCCGTGACCCTCACTGGCTGCAGAAGCGGCAATTAGTAAATGCTGGCCAGCTGGAAACATAATAATGTTCTTTTTTTTTTCACCACCTGGGGCTGTTGCGATAGGGAAAAACCTCTCTAATTT